TGTATTCGTAACATTAAAACAAACGTCATGATACAATGTGAACGACAGTTACAAAGTGTGGTTCAAGTTCAGGAAGAATGGTAAATGTGACAACGGATTACATACACTATAAAACCGTGAGTTTCTGAATTTCCAGACGAAAAGCGGAGATGACCGGCACCAACCATTTATTGTCTCCGATGATCCGGCATTTTCACCGCCTGGAGTGGAATACCTAGAAGATACCGCTTAAAACGGCCAGCAAGAAAGTCGTCAAGCCTATGAAGCTCGTGCTTCCGATTCAGAGTACGTTTTAACGCGCAACATAATAACAGCGGGAGATTTGGTTGCAAGGCCTGCTGGTTTCTTGATGCTATCTGGCGATGACCCGGAGCTAAAAAATGGCGGGCTCGAAAACCATCTAATTAGGTAAGTTCTTCAAACCTATAGGCTTTCTTCTGTAAATTGGGAGTCTCTCCGCATGGGAAGCACTTGTAAGCTCGTGAGAATGATCGCTCCAAGGTAGCGTAATTTCTTTTTTCAGCGACTGTCACGAAGATTTCAATCTCCAAGAGTCAAACACAAGACTAGATGTTAAATGATTTAGGCCACCGGGTGCATAACCTGGCAAGAAAGAGCATCACATGATATGGTGGTAGTAACCAGTTATCTGCCCATGGGACAGCTTACTCTGCTGACTATCATCCACTTTAATAGAAACTTTCAACGACGACGCGTTGTAATCGAACAGCACTCCTATCTTAGTGTCCCCAGGCAAGCATGAGAAGAATAGCGCCTCCTCGATCTCGGAAGGAGAATGTACCGACAGCACCCAGAATTAGTGATCGTTTTCATACTCTTCTACCGAGCTATAATTGGCCAGTTTTCGCGTGTCACTGATTATGGCGCGGAAACATCACCTCGGCTAACAATTTGGCGTGCGCAATACACGACCGAACCGGCGAAGCTTTCGGTCTGGGACCAGAGTTTTGTGTCCCAACCCAACTCTCCCTTTCCATTTGACCCCTCTGTATTCGTTGACACCAGCCAGCACGAGCTATAATCAATCCATTGTAGCCTGATTTCCCCGTCTTTGGAATCTCAATCGCATGTTATTCAGCCGTCATGTGTCCCAAATTAGCAAACGTCATCAGAATCTCGGCGATTCGCACATTGGCCTTATCGGTTGCACTATGGACCCTAGTGTGTACCATCTTCAACAAACGTGAGACGTCTCACAACCTCGAGTGCCTCGGATTGTAAGCGTCATGTTCGGTGACTGTATGCCCAGGGACATAACCATATATTCGTGTGCGAACCGCATGCCATGATCGGTCAGTTCATCCAGTCACCCGCTCGTTTTCTCATCCAAAAAGTGATATGTGTCCGCATATTCCGCCAGCATTTTTCTAGCGTCTGGCGCCTTGTCTTATCGATCGAAAAGTTGAATATCAACGAAGAGAGTGGGTATCCTTTTCAGACCCCCGTTTTTGTACGAAATCTTCTGGACACAAACTGATCCCTCTGTAAAGTGAGCTTGACAAGTAAATTTAGCAAGCGCTAACTGAGGACCTCACTACTATCTTTCGACAATGTGGGTAATCTGGGCCGGGATGAAGGGGCTGAAGGGCCGGGTGCTGAAGGGGGGATTATTAAATTAAAATAATTGCTCAGCCAAGACGTCCTTTCGGTGCATGGCTGCGTTGCGACCCGATGGAAGCGCGAGGGCTGAGTTACTGTCAGTTTGCCCAAGCATAGACTGGAGCAGTTGAGATGCCAGGTTTGGTTCAGATAATGAACTTTTAGGTCGCTAGGCGCGCGAGTAAACCACTGGGCTATTTCGAGCTCATGAGGATTCCTCAAAGTGCTCCACATGGTGATCAAGGCGTCGTTTCTTACTGGCGATAATCGCATTATTTTAGTCCTTGAAAGTTCTGCCCACAGACGGGGACCAGTCGTCCGGATTAACTTTTCCGGTATTTCGGGCATTCTTCGCTTCCATTTGGCTGACCTTACGTGTTAGGCTTCACGATCGATGCACAGTCGTTGATATTCGATAAATCGCCGGTTTGAACATTTCCCTGAGACTCAGTCAGTACCACCGTTCTAATTGGTGTTCAGTGCCTGGGTAAAGCTGACTTTACTTTGCGCAGGCATAAACCCTGGCATTATGCAAAGGTGAGACAATCCCGCTCCAGTTGGATTCAGTATCCAATAGTAGAGCAGCTGGAAGTGTCCAAAAGACGGACAGAATCTATGAGCAACACAGTTGCCAAGGTAGATTTCAGCCTTTGTGCAGCCGTGTGCGTGATCTGAATCCACACAAGTGTTCCGAAAGGAATGACTGGTTTGTTCATCCACCTCCTCGCGCATGGTATGGCCCGTTTGCATCGGCAACTAGAACATTTCTGGTGAGCCATGTGCAGCTAGACGATTTCGATTATTCTGGAACTTGGAAAAAGTCCGGCCAGCACTTGGCTAAAACAGTCGTTCTCCGCCGTCTGTACCTGCCTATACCAAGTTAAATAATCGTTCGGGTGTAACACCCACTGCCTAGTAGCCATGCCACCCGAAGGAATTACGAGGGCTGGGATACTGCCGGGTTACCCAAGCCTAGGCAGAAGTCGAGAGGCATGGGTCGCTGGCGCTTTGCTGCTGTAAAACCATGCCAATCTACTCGAATAAAGCTTTGGAATGAAAAGGAGAAAAATGGGCTAGGGGGAGACATCTAGGGCCAGTCACAAATATCTGAGGTGCCTGCAACTCCAATACTCAATCAGACAATCTGGCTAGGAACCCACAGCATGGACGCCACTGATATCGGTTAGCCGCCAAATCATTCAGTGTCTCCAGCCAAACAAATCGATAATCAGTTGGACCCTATTGTTGGAGTCGAACGGCACGACCAAAACTTCCGTAGCATCGTTACTACCTTCTGTCGTGCCAAGTTCTGTCCACTGCTAGGTTTCCGCCACTCAGAATTAGGCACGAAAAACAGCGTTCATCTCAGCAGGCAATAACTCGACATGATAACGCATGGCTCTTCTAACTGGGCTTGCAGTGCTCGATGCATTGTTTCAGTGAAGTACAGTCTGCTCCATCAAAAGTTGGAATCCTGATCAGATTCCGGATTCGCCCACTCCTCCTAGTCTCAGTCATACTTCTGAAATAGGGATGGTTAAAAACCTGAAAATATCTCGGGTCGTCGCCTGAAGTGGCCAAGGCTCGAAGCCGTACAATACGCGTTTGATGCCAAAATTGGTGCAGATTAGAGGAATCCGTTCTGGCCTTTGAGGTTCGACTGCAAGACTACCTTCAGTGCTAATGCAACTTCCGGGGTACGTATGGTGTTCCATAGCTTCTTGTGTCATTCCTTGACTGTACGTCCTGCAACATGACTTCGCACCTTGGCGCGATGTCCATGCCGAAAGACTATATGGCCTTTGTTAATTTTTCCAGCGCTGTTTGCGCTTTCTACTCGTCAAAAATGATAACACTGTCATCTGTATATTCCAGATTTACAAGGTTCTCAGTTAGAGATATCTGACAGCGGAGTTTTGCAGATCCTCTAGAGCTCGCCCTATTACCTGATCAAGGACAACCATATACACAGATGAAGATAGTGGGCACCCTTGTTGGACACCACTCCTTGTAGAAAGGATTTTGGATAGCTCCGCTTACATTCACACACCAATAAGCATGTGAACACAAACAGTGCATTATACTCATGAACTTCTGGGATATACCCGGCTGCGAGAGCGTGCTGAAAAGAACCAACCGGTCGACAGACTCGATCGCACCCTCGAAGTCAAGGAACACCATGGGTGTAGGACGTCAATACGTATGTCGTTTCTCTAACACTTGATGGCAGGAGGCTGCCATGCTACCCGAAGGAAGCACGAGGGCTGGTATACTGTCAGGTTGCCCAATCCCAGACAGTGGAAGTCGAGGGGCAGAGGTCGGGTTCGAACCAAGGACCTTCCGGTCAGTAAATTCGCGCTCTAACCACTTGAGCCATCTCACTTGATGAAGCATGATTGCGTCCACGTAACCCCCGCCCGGCCGGAATCCTGCTTGCTGTTCTCGGCTTCTGTCCTCACTCAACTTCGAAAGACGTAAAATAAGCGGTTCNTCTGGTTAAAAACGGGTCAAGCTGATTCCTTTGTGATTGCCACATTCATTGTAAACACTATTTTTTAAAATTGGCACTACTGTGGATTCATCTCATTTGATTGAGACAGTCCCTTTCTCCCAGATTGAGGCAAATATGTTATACAAGCACGTATAATTAATTTCTCTCTGTCTTCAAACAGTGGGCGGGGGTCCTGTCAGGACGAGAAGCTCACTGACGCTTCCGGGACAATAAGCATTCGCTTATATCTGAAGCCGTTAGGGAATTCAAGTTTGATCTTCAGAGCTGTGTTGCCGGCTGAGTACCCGACTGAGCAACTGTAAATAACCAGTTAAATTAACATTGTTTGCATCACTATGGCATCAGATCCAAGAAGAGCTATGTCGTCTGTGTGCCTAATACCTGTGAGCGGACGGCAGTGAAGCATCAGTGCCAACACTGATGTTGCTGTCTGATCATGATGATGATGTCCCGGGAGCACTTCGATTCCACAGGCGTTAGAAGCTGATAGTGAGTCTTCCATGACCTTATCAATGACGAAGTTAAAGAGGAATAGTGAAAAAAGACAGCCCTATTTGACACCACTTAGTGTAGTGAACTCAGGAGAGAGCCTCCTGTGGACCTTCACACGGCCGCGGGAGTTGGCGAACAGCGCCTGAAGGAGGGTCAGGAATTTATGGGGAATACCTTTGCTCCATAGACACTGCCATAGTGCCTGATGCTCCACAGAGTCAAAGACAGCTTTTAGATCAAGGAACAACCATTGTTGGTTGCTGGAAGCAGTGTCGCTGTTCCAGAATCTGTCGGAGATAAAATCGATGCAACCTCTTGCAGGACGGAACCCAGCTTGGTTTCCACGGGTCTGCCTCCCTGTGTTCAGTGAACCTTGGAAGGATAAAGTCAGGGAAATCATTCGGTGCCGTGACTAACAGGCTGATGCCATGATGGTTTTCACACAGCGTCCGCGTACTCCCTTTAAAGATAGGGATAACTGTCGATAAGCAATCCACACAGGACGAGTGACACCAATAGCTAATAGTGTACTATCTGCGTTTGAGGTTGGCTCGCATGCGTTAAGTTCCATGTTGCCAAAAGGCCTCGGTTGTTCCGGAAGTTAGTACTGTATAGAAGCAGTCTGTGGTCAGTACAAAACTGCAGCAGTCGTTTCCGTTTTCCGGACGTCTCGAGCGATGGGATGAACACTTCAAAGAACAGTTTAACTGGTTTTCTTCAACACAACTGCTGGAAGAATCCAGTGGACCTGAATGGAACATCGACACCAACCCGTCGTCAACAACAGAATCCCAGCATGAAATATCGATACTCAAGCGCGACAAGCCTCCTGGTCCGGATGGCCTACACTCCGCCCTGTTCAAAGAAGGGAGTGAGGTCTTGGTAAACAGTCCAGCAACCAGACTCCAAAAAATTTGGAACAAAAAACAATACCAGTCGAATGGAACTCTTCGGCTGTCATCCTGGCTTTCAAAAAGGGCGCAAGAACATCATGCGGGATTCATCGTGGCATCAGTCTGGTATCCGTCGCATCTAAGGTGCTTTTTGGCATTACTTTATGTAAGTTGACCGATTATCTGAAAGTCACCCTATGCGGTTTCAAACGTATGCCCGAACTGGGGTCCAGTATACTTGTTTCGGAAACAATAAATATAGATCACAGGGGAGCAAGTTCTTGGCAAGAACTATCTGTTGCCCAGATACAGACGTTGGAAGCAGCAGCGTAGAACAGACCTCTTAAATTTGGTCAGGATTTATTCTTATTTTCGTTGCTAGCCAGGAGCTTAGATACGGAGCAACGGTTAGGTGATTCCGTCACGAAGGGACTGGACCTTACCGTGGTGTGACGGTTTGCGCACCTCAGCGATCCATTGAGCTATACTGGAGAGTGTCCCGCGACACTCACAGAGTCATGCCAGGTTGTTCAATGGTTAGAGGTCTGACGAACACAGTCTCCTGGTCCTCCAGGTTGGGGTTTGGAACATGTGGCGACTTGTTCCGTAGAAATGGTAATGCATTTGCATTTCCCGCCAAACACCACTGCCTTGCGGTTAGACTTTTCAGCCAAAGGCTTTGGTTGAGGACCCTAATCGTCCTCCTGTCTAGGTGTGGGCACCCTGGCAGTATCCCAGCCCACGTACAACCATGAATAGCACATACACAAATAAACTCATGCCACATCGGCCGTCGCGTGGTGACATCAGCCGGGTCGCCTTACTTGCTGCATACAGCAGGGCGGGTAAGCGAAAACAGGCTACTGCTGACGCCTCCCTTCTTTCCCCTTCACATACTTTTTCTTCTCCCTCTCCCCACCCCATTAATAACTCTCTCCTTGTAGGCCCAGCACTTAGGACTGATGACTCCGTTCGTCATGCATCGGTTTTGCGTGCAGCATCTGCTCATCACATGGTGCCGACATCTCCAGGCATCTCCAAATCAGTCCTCAAGCCTCGGCACCCAGCCTATCTGGCCTCGTTCAATGTGCGCACTCTGAAGCAAGCAGGACAACAAGCTGCTCTTGCACTCACACTGGACTCGCTTGGCATTGATGTGTGCTGTG